GGGTTTAGGATTGGGTCGATTTTGTATTATGAGGTTGGGTTGCTGGTTGTATTGAAATAGGGCCCAAATTCTTGGTCTCAAAATGAGTTGAGGAAATTGATTAGGTTTTTAAATTGGGGATTTGGCCAATGGATTAAAGTTATAGCCAGTTAAAGTTCACAATATGGTTTGATTTGAATTTAGTTTGCAAATTCGGCTAAAATCTAAGATGAATTTAAATAAGATTAATTAAGGAGCTTCTTAAACTTAACCAAATGAAATAATTAACTTAATTATAAATCGAATGATTTAAAAATATAAACTATTATATAACTAAACCAATTAACCAAATATTTAATTAAAACAAAATATTTTTGAGATGATTTTCGAATATTCATAAAATATACTAATTATATACATAATTATCTAAAACATATACATTATTTGAAAATGGTAAAAAGGCGACAAACTATTTTAAAATGACTTGCAAATTATATATATTTTTTATATATATTCTTTTTTATTTATCTTGAAATGTTATAAAACTAATTATTTTAAATCATTTGAAATTGAAGAAGCTCATTGATTAATCTATATGTGGAGGTCCAAAATTGGGTGTCAACAGTGCTTACCAACCTTATCAAAAGATGTAAACATATAAGTTAAAACATTAACATATTAAAAAAATATAATTAATAAATATTAATTAAAAAGTGAATGAAACTAACATTATCTTTCAGTGCTTTCAACTCCAACTGAACCTGTCATTACACATTGAAATGGTATATAAATTCATTGTAATATGTTAAAAAAAATAGTAAATCATACTATTTTATTGTATACCTCCGCAATCTCCTTTTTCAACTTTACGTACTTTTCATCTGAGCCAACATCATGCCTTTCTGAGGTGGCTTGATCTTCTGCTTCATGGTGGTTAGGAGACTGATGTAAATTGAGCTGATCCATGGCATTGATCTCTTCGTCCATATGCACCATGTTTCTGAAATTATGCTGTAATAAACAAAAAAATGTAAAAATTAAAATTTATTAAAATTAAGGTAATAAATTATAATTAATAAATGGCAGTAACTAAAATATGACCTGGTTGCCATTTTTTCTGAAAATGGTATTCTTCAAGTCATCGAAAAAAATAATATCATCTGACGTCTTCCAATTGAGAATACGCGGAGTGCGATTTGAAACACGAATAGCAACTGTGTTGTCAAAAGGGTGACAACACTCATAAAACCAAACATGCAGCGCTATATGGAATTGACTGAATTTGAAAGAACTAGGATTGTTTTTCAACCTATGATTGCAAGCTTTTAGAGTTAATCTAAAAATTTCATTGCCCCAAGGGAAATTTACATATTCACCGGACTCAACCAAATCAAAATACAATTTATGAATGGTTGTTTTTGAGGCCTTTGAACCAGTCAAAAATGAATAAATGAAGTACAGGATGCCAATTTTTAAAATGTCTTCATTCTCAAAAAAGACAGGTTGTTTAAACTTATTGAAGAAGTCTGACTTAGGGTCTTTGTTCAATTCCCCAAAATATTCAAGGATAAGTCTATTGGGAATAGACGGATCTGAGATAAAATAAGAATGAAGTCCACATTTAAGACCAGTTACTGCTGAAAATTCCTTGTTTCCGAATCATAATTTTGTACCGCTTATTTTAATAACAAACATGTCGTCTCGGATATTTTCTTTTTCAAGAATCATCAAATGCCGCAGTAGTTGACATTGAATCTTTATATGGTACATGTCATAGAATAAACCAAAAGGTGTTTGTTCGAGAAATTGTTGAAATCTCTCTTGCCCAAGAAAAGTCAAAAGATCAGCAAACACATTCATGTTGGTACATGAAGACCAGTGTGTGTGTTTCTTCATTTCCTATAAAATAAAATTGTGTATACTACATTAAAAGATACTTCATACACATATTATTCAGTTACATTATTCAGTTACAATACACATAACTTAATAGTTTCACATTTCATATACACTTCACACACATTTCATTTTCATACATATATTATTCAGTTACAATACATAAATCATACATAACTTAATAGTTTCACATTTCATACACACTTCACACATATAGAATTCAATTTTCATTCCAGCAGTAACCATAGTTCACATTTCACACACACTTCATATACAATATGTATAAAGAAATGACATAAATTATATTCACATTTCACACACACAGCATACACATATTATTCACACACACTATATACACAATTTTCTTTCCAGCAATAACCATAGTTCACATTTCATACACAATATTTATAAAAAATACGGCATACATTATATTCACATTTCACACACTGCATACACATATTATTCACACACACTCCATACATATATTATTCACACAGAGTAGTTAAATAAGATCGTAAAATTTGAAAACAAAATTAATAATCATATGCATATCAATGTTGTATCATAATTCATACAAAATACATCATTTAAAATTTATAATCAAATGCATAAGCATTTTATTCAGATTTGGAACAAATTTCAGAAAAACAAAAAATTGAAAACAACAATAATAATAATGTGTTATAAAAAAAACAACTATTTTGAGTAATGTGAAAAATAAATTAAATAAATTACTTACCTTAACCACTTTTTTGGGCTTTTTGGATTTTGGTAATTTCGATTCATCCTTTTTTGTTTTTCTTCTTGTATAAGGTTTTGATGTTTCAACAACTTCAACCTTTGTTGCTTTTTTTTTTTCTTCTTTTTTGTTTGACCAACAAAATTCGAATCTGAGTCGGAATCAGACTCTGGAGGGGTTTCAACAAGTTTTTTCCCCTTCCTCTTCTTCCCCCTTTGATTTGCCATTGTCGCACTTTGGTTTGCTTCATTATTTTTATATTTTTGATTCTTCGAACGAGATGGACCACAGGTGGCCGGAAATTGAACAGTTTTAGACGGGGGTGTTTGAAAAATATATTAAACGATGGAGCATGAGCATCATCAATTGAAATTCCGTCAAATCTGAGGCTCTTTCGTGGAGTTTCAATTTGTTTCTTAGACATGATGATGAATAATCGTCGGTAAGATGGGTAACCAGTTTTGATGTTGGACTAGATGAGAAAGAATGGAGAAAGATTGATAGTGGTTGTGGGTTGAGTCGTGTGGGAGTGAAGAAACGTGTGGGATGGTGGTGTGATCGATGATTGGGGATGGTAACGGTAAACAAGGAAAGGAAATCCCTAAAATTGGGTAACTAAAAATTTTAGTTTATTAAAAAAGGAAGTAAAATCAAATTAATTATCTATTATTAATTAATAATAAAAAACTATAAATAGATTAATAATTTATTAAATAAATATAATTTAATTTTAAAATTAAATTAAATTAAATTTTAAAATTTAACTGATATGTCATATTTCGTAAATAATCTGTTATAAGTAAGAAATTTTTAAAAGTATATTTAAAACCCGTAATATTTACTCTTAAATGTGTATATGGGGTGATTTTTCCTTGTCGAATTCCCATATGAAAGGTCTGCCAATACATTAGGGAATTTTTTTTTCTTCCTATCGTGGACTCATTTCAAATTAAATTTTATCTTTTTTGTGACATTATAGTACAAAATTTTGGAGCCAATCTAATTTTTCCTAGTGGTATAATAGCCCTACATGATTTCTGATCTTTTGTTGCTTTATTGTCGCGGCAATAAGACATTTTTTTAATAATAGTAAGAGTCTATTCAATTCACACGATTACATAAAGTCTAAATTGCTAATAATCTTAAGTTAGTTATAAGGCGATGAATTTCTTTTCGGATCTTGTACACACAACCCCTCTCCTTTTTTAGTTGCTTAGATCGAATTTCTCAAGGAACAACTAAACTACTAGCCTATAACACAATAGTCTAGATTTTGAAGAGTATTATATTATACGATAAATAATTTAAGCAAAATATATCTCGGAATTCCCCTAAATTTGACATGTTTTATTTGGTGAACGTTAATTAAACTTTGTTAAGAACATTGGTTCTTTAAATAAAGAGAAAAGATCCTCTCTCTTTTTTAAGTGGCCAAGAAAAGACGTCTCTTTTTTTATGTGTCCAATTTTTATTTTTTTTCAGATGATAATATTCAACACAGACAATTCAGTACAGGAGATAAAAACATGTTTAGATAATAATTATTTGAAGTTTTGGAAGTTTGCATGATATAAAAAAATCACATAAAATGACAAGAATAGTTGAAATTCATCACCTTTATTTTCCTTAAAGCCAAAACCAAAAAGGTATAAGATTAATAATTGCCACATTATATTTCTCAAATTCTATGTTCCATGCTCAACACTTTTTAATTTTCTTTTCAACTTTTTTCAATGAAATTAAAATCATTTTTGCAAGTGTCATTTGTGTACCTTTTCTTCACTTATATAATCGCCTCTTAAAGAATTAACTTTCTCAAAATACTTTTATCTTTTGATTAATAATATTGATCTGACGTTGTTTGCATGCATGTACCTTAATTAATCCATTAGTTATTATTTTTTATCCCAATTAATTATGTGGTGCACCGTTATTTAGATCTCTCTCAGAAGATTGATATCTTTCTAATAAAAGAATAATTTGACTTCAAACTTTCAATTTTATTATAATCACATAAATATCGATAACTTTTATATCATAAATTTAGAAGTCTTTTTCTTGAATTTTATATATACCTATTCAAAATGCATTATATAAAATTGGGATGAAGAGACTAATTTAAAGTTATGTTTTTTCTTCTATAAACAAACAAAAGCACCAATATAAATTTGTCCCCCAAGATTTAAATAAATGAGAATAATTATTTAAAACATTTCTCCTTCTTTATCGGAGATAATTTGAACCTTATTCTCTTATAATTTTCAGAGACTTTATTGACCGCTACACGAAACCAAATCATTTGTCTCAAAATTTTCTTTATATAATTAAGTTACAACTATCACTCAAACCAAATCTAAAAGCCTCTATTCATTTCTCATTCATCAACATGATAACTTCATATCCTACAACAACTAGTCCCATAACCTCCGTGGATTGCGAAAAACAAGTGCGTTCATGGAGGTTTCTTCGTTCACTTATGAAACTTCTTATTCCTCGATGCAATTGCATCTTCGTTGAAGAAGAAAATGACGATAGAAAACACATACCCTACTTCAAACACAACTCATCATCATTATCATCATCATCCTCAGCTATAACTATTACAGGTACAATCTTTGGTTCGCGTAAAGGAAAAGTCAACTTTTGTATCCAGTCAAACCCTAATTCCACAAACCCTATTCTTCTTCTTGAACTCGCGGTTTCAACTTCCTCACTTGCTCGTGAAATGCAAAAGGGAGTAGTGAGAATCGCGCTTGAGAGTAAAACAAACGATTACTCTTCTTCTTCTTCTTCTTCTTCTTCTTCTTCTTCTTCCGCATCTCTTTTGTCTATGCCAATATGGAGGATGTATTGTAATGGAAAGAAAGTAGGGTTTGCAGTTAAAAGAAAACCTACAAAAGTTGATTTGCAAGTTTTGAGACAAATGGAGTCAATTATTGTTGGAGCTGGAATTATTCATGGGAAAAAAGGAGTTATAAAAAAAGATAATGATGATGATGATATAATGTATCTAAGAGGAAAATTTGAAAAAGTTCATGGATCTAATGACTCAGAGTCTTTTCATTTAGTTGATCCTGAAGAAAATATGGGTCAAGAGCTAAGCATTTTCTTTCTACGCTCTCTTAATTAATTAGCATATACCGACATGTGTTGCAGTAGGATGGTTGAGATCTCTCTGTGCTTAACTTGGTCTCTTAGGTACGAGTCCTTGAGAATGAAAATGGGCATTGCAATACACGAATCCAAAGTTAGTTGAGCGTAATACATTATACATATATCGAACCTTAGATGAAAAATTAATTAGCATCTAATTAGTAGTAGCATTTTCTTCTTCTTTTTTCATTTTCGATTTGGTTGTAGGACCTTTTTTAGTGGTTATGTAAACAGACCCTTAACTATGTATTGTAATAACTAAAATGTGACATATTGGAGGGAAATGGAGGTTTACTTCCTTGGCTTTTATTTATAAAAAAAAAAAAAATGGACAAACATTACAATAATCTTTAACAAATTTATATGCTTCTCACATTCATGTTTTTAATTTGTTAAAAATAAAATAAAATTGGACCATTTCTTGATTTGGGCATTATCGTTCTTGTGTAGAAGTTATATTAATCTTTTCTCGGTATCTTTCCAGTTTTATCTTTAATTAAGCTTCTCATCCATATAGCATTTTGTTCATTCTAAGGAAACTTTTATGATTATAAAGGGAGACTCGAGATTAAAACTTGTTAAAATCAACCTTTTAAGGTTTTAGTAATAAATCATAGTACTTTTGAAATTGCAGATTATTTTAATTTGAAATTTTGCTAAAATTTTATTGGATCTTAGCATATATATCTATTTTCTATGTAAAAAAATATTGAGTTCAAGTGAGCTCACATAGAACATACCTAGACTTGTTTTACTCAATTAAAACATATTATTATTTATTTAATTATATTTCTTTAATTAACACATTAATTGTACTAATAATTAGCTGTATTCATTTGGGAACCAAATTCTGCAGGGTAAAAAGGAGTCTGATCAAAATGTATGTTTATGTTGGGTTAGTGCGCTACTGAAATGATGCTGCCTTTAATTTTGTTTTTGTGAGCTGTTTTTTTTGGATTAATAATTTACATGTTGATGTGAGTAGTAGGTCATAGTGACAATGATTGATAATGTAAATTAATGGCGGAGTTAACTCGCGATAACGCGTAGATATTGTTATTGAAAATAGTGTAGTATGCAAAAAGAATTTCTAGATATACTTAAACTGCTACGAATCAAATCATCAAATTGTGAGTTATCTCACGATATGTTGTTAAATGAAAGTCATCACATTTTCTCTAACAATCAATGTTCACTAATAAGAATTGCTTATAAACTGAAGACAAATCATATTTAATTTGTCAAAGTTAAGATATTATAAACATATCAAAAGTCATGAGCCATCTTCATTGTATAGTCTTTTCTAGATATCACCTGAACGTATCTGATTCAATATCTATCTTTTAATTAGACATTTCAAGTTCAAATTCAAAAAATGAAAAACTTGATAGGAAATTTATACCTACCTAACGCGATAAATGAGTTTTAAATATCAAATGGTTTAAAAATTGATTAGATGAAGGATCAATTGGTATTCCTTAGATGTTAATGTCATTGGCATTCTAGGTTAATCTTGATCATTAGATTGGACCAATTGTGCGAGGTTACCGAAACTTATAAGACCTAAATGGTTCGATTAAAAAATGGAGGAGGAAATTTGTTATTCTTTAGAGTCGAAAATCTTTTTTTTTTCAAAAAAGAAAAAGAGTCGAAAATCATTTGAGTATTCCTTTAAAATGAAAATGCATTATTTATTATATTGTGTCACCATCTTTCAAATTAAAAATATATATCTTGTTCATCACTTAAATAAATAGATTTTGATTGGGAGAGAGAAGAGGAATCGTGAATCATGTTCTCTAAGCTGTCGAGTCAAAAAAAGAAATAAAAAAGTCTCAACAATAAAAACAAAAATTAGCTTCTTCAATTTTAGAATATCTAAGAAATATCAACCATAACAATAATGCTTTCAGTATAATTTTACAAGTCAATCATAAAAGAATAGAATCAATACGAATTTTATCTCTATCTTAATTCTTAAAAGTTCAAAATATTATTTTCGATAGATCATCTGCTAAATAAAAAAGGTGGCTTCATAGAAGGCACTCTATCTTCATGACTTGTTTCTTCTAATGCCAAAAGTACTCTATGATATTATTAAATCAGGGGCAGGTTTAGATATTCATCTAAAAATTTATGTGAACTCAATGATTTTTATTTTTATTTTAAATATATTCTAAAAAATTTACTAATTATATATATAAAAAAATATTTAATTGTGAAGTCAGTTGTTTGTTGTTGCATAAATACTACATCCTCTAATTTGCTAATTTGATTTTGATGTGACAGTACACAATATGATACCCAAAATTTCTCCAGGCTGTACAGACTTTAATTTTCAATATTAGGATTACATCCATGATTATGAATTTTAATAATCTCCTCTTGCAAAACACTTCCATTTGACATGATTATTTTAATACCTATGATGAAAACATGACCTACTTAATTTATAATTACTCATCACACATGATTACAATCCACTATATTAAAATTAAGGCCCTCCGTATATATACATCTTCTACTTAATTATAAGTCCATCAAGAAATTAAAGAAAATAATTTCATTTTCATCTAAGTTTTATAATCAGTCCAAAATGTCCACTAAAATTACTTATGTAGATCCATTTTACAATCAAATTATTTCTAAAAAATCCAACCCTTTATATTCAAGAAGATCATATGTTCATTTTAACAAGATCAACAAACCTCTCAATTTCCTCATTTCCAATGCAAAAATTGGAATATTCATGTAAGTTTTAATTTTCCTCACTCTTTCTTTTTTCAAAAAATTATTAACTTATTGTGTATACGTATTATTTTTTTCTTATAGTGTTAGGTGCAATTCAGCCAACAGTATTGGATCAGATGCTTCACCTCCTGGAAACTCTCCATCTTTTGGATGGTAACAAATTTCTTATTTTATTTTCTTGTAAAAAAAGAAGAAGAAGAATTAAGCCAAATAGTCGTCTTTTCAACTACTATAACAAAAAATAGCCGGTGAATAAATGGTATATGTATAATATATGTATATAGTGTATTATCTATTGTATATATCGATTAAGAAAAGTAAATAGTGAATCTGATCGACTATTTGTAAAAATGGACTAAGATAAATTGGTTTTGTGAGGTATCATGTTTTGAAGTGGTTATTGTTATATGCAGGAAAAAATGGTTGTTGGGACTTCTTCTACCTATGTTACTACCTGCATTCAAGAACAAAGTCAGCCTTTCACAACTTCTCAAAAGTAAGTAAAAATTGATTTTTCTTTGAAGTATGATGATGAAACCCTATATTCAATTATAATAATGTTCATAGGTTGAATTAATTGTTAAATACACTGTCAGTGTAAAAGAAATTTGATATTATCAAGTCATCAAAATATATTTACAAATAAACCTTCTTAAAATGTAAGATTTGTAATCTTGAAAATAAAATACATGCTACAACCATAAGCGGAGCCAAGTGGGTGCAAGGGGGTTCAACCAAACCCCCTTTGAAGGACAATTATAATATAAATACAAGGTTAAAATTGTCTTTTATGTATATATAATAGATGTTAAACTCTCCTGACTTCTTTATGTATATATTTATTTCTTTATGTTTTGATCCCCTTAGTAATAAATATCATGACTTCGCTACCAACTACAATAGATAAAAAAACCTGATGGTACAAAAAAATTTATAGAACTGACGATGTATATAACTTAAACTCACGAAAAATATTAATTATTTTTGGATTTATTTTGAAAGGTGATGTGGATAAAGCAATACAAACAGTGGAAACTATGAGTGAGCTAGTGGAAGAGGTAGCTGAGGAAGTAGAAAAGATTGCTGAAGAGGTTGAAAATAAACTTCCTGGGGATTCAAAGCTAAAAGAAAGTCTTGATTCAATAGAAAATTTAGCTCAAGGGGCTGTCAAATATGCCCACCAAGCTCAAGATCTCATTCACAAGGTTAGTATCGAGACGAATTCAGAATTTCAAGTTTTTTATTTTTATAACAATTAATTATCTCAATTGATAATTAACTTCACATTTAAATATTTAATGAATTTTTCAATATATGTGTGTATATATATGTATACAACGCGGTTGGATAGAAGTTACTGATTTTCTTGAATCCATATATTGTTCTCTAGATCCGCGATTCCTACCCTATAATTCCCCTTTAGAATTTTTGCACTAAGATGGATTTAGAGTGGCATTGGATATAGTGAAACACTTGACATTTCACTACATCAAAAATAATTTTTAGCCCATTAAATTAATAACAATCGTTTAATTGCCACTAAATATATGTTTTTTAGAGGCAATCAACACTCTTTGTAAATGTTCCTCAAACATATAGCGGCATTGGATCCAATGTTAGCTAACTAATGTCGGTAAAAGAATTTAGTACTCTTTGTTAATGTGTATATTTATTGCCGTTAAAATCTGCTTTTATGATAATATTTGTACTTTAAACACAAGAACTATAATTAACTTTAATTGATAATCTGATTAACCAATATATATAAATTAATTTTATAATGTCAATGTATATATAATTTATTTATTTATTTGGAATATTTGCAGATTGAGGATGTAGAAAAAGAGATATTGGAGGAAACACAAATGCAAAGTAACACTACAAATCAGGTTGAAAGGATCAGCCAAGAGTTGGGCTCAAAAAATTAGTCATTATTTATATTTTATCTGTGTATTTTATTCATACTCTGTAATTTTAATTTGTATAGTTTATCTGCATCAATTATGTTTATGTAATGTAAACATGAATTCAATAAACCAGCATATATAGAAAAGCATGCACTATGGCAATATATAATACTTTAAGAGTTTTTTTTTTTCTAAATCATTTGATATCTAAAACTCACTGAACAGATTAAGTTGATGTCACGCTAAATAGACTCATTAAGGGGTAAAACGGTCCTTGTCAAAAATATTTTTCATTTTCAAAGCTTGAACTCAAATCATCATTATTAGAACATAGAGTTATTATTCAAGGTACTTTGTTACGTGAAGTATCTGAATATTATCATCAAGAATTATGATGAGATGAATAAGATTCTTCTATCCTTACGTAAAGATTTTGAATATAAATCTAAATCCTAAAAAATGAAAAAAAAATCTTGATAGAAAACACTTATTCCCCTTTAATTCGCCTTAGGAATGAATTTACATAATATTAAGTTGTACATTTTGTGAAAGAAAACCATAACACAAGGATCTATAATGTTCTTTACGTTCATGGTTATGTCCACAATCCACATTACGATTAACTTCATATATTATAATAAAATAATATACAAGTACTGCACTTTTAATTATAAGTATATGTTTTTATTAATTAGTACCACATGTATTAATGTATATCAAATTAAATTATATTCCAACAAGCATCAAATCACCCTGGTATGATGCACATGAACTACAACTAGTAATAGGTTGGCTTTTTGGATATGACTTTTTTGTTAAATCAAAAATAAATATAGTCAAATCTCTTTATAATAATATTATTTATTTCAATTTTTTATATCTATTATAGTAAAATATTGTTATAAAAGTATATAACATAATATAAAAGATCAATTTTACAAAAAAAAAAAACATAATTATTATGATAAAATATTAATATAAAGGATAATTGTTTTTAAAAAATAGAATATATATATATATATATATATATATATATATATATATATATATATATATATATATATATATTATCGTATCGATCTGATTAATTATAATTTTCCAATAATTGCGATCGAAATTCTTTTGATATTTGTCTCACATGGTGACATAACTGGAAAAAAAAATATAAGAATATCAAAAAATCCACATTGCATCATCCCACGTTCCTTCACGAGCAAATACGAAATCAAATTCAATTTTAATCAAGTATGTTTTCGATTTAATTTACATATATTGGCAGTATAATAATTTTAAATAATTATGTTATTTTAAAGTAGTTTAAGGTAATAATCATAATTGGTGATATAATTATTTGAAAAATAAGACGAAGGCAAATTAACTGTACTAATAAAAATTCGTTTGGTACATATTTTCAAATTTTTTATCAAATTAAGTCATTATTAAAATCAATTCACTTAAATAATACATTTTTTTGAAATTTTACAAAACTAGTATAAACGTATTTCTCAGTAACGTTTTAGGTTATATTTTATTCAAAAAAATTCAATGGCAAAAAGACAAAAATCTGACGGAGGGAACAGACATAAAACGGTGACAGTAACATTTTATAATTCGTTACTATGAAGCACGTTTTACAGCTAAAACGTCACTCTCAATAACGTTTCTCTGGAATGACTAAAAATTGAAATTCAATCTTATACCTACCTCATTCACAACTTTATCCAACTTTCCACTACTAAAATAGATATATATTTTGCGTAGTTGAAATATATATGTTTTCTTTTTTTCTTTCACTTTTCACAATGCTTTTTACAACAAAAGGAAAAAAGAAAGTGACGAGGACTTTTTACCAATGGCAACTTCTTGTTCTTCTCTACAAAAAATATTCACAACACAGTCAATATCCTATTTTAATAAGCCTCAATTAATATGTGCAACCTAATCGAAATGTAAAATCATTCATAACAAGTGGATTTAGTAGTCTAGACTCATAACTTCATTGAATAATGTTTGTGCATTGAAATCGATACAACAAAAACTTCACAAAAATAGTTCAAATTCACTCTTTTTCCTTTTGTGGTAAAAAGTATTATTTATGTATGAAAAGAGAAAATCATATATATTTCAAGTAAATAGATGTACAAAATATATATCTATTTTAGTAGTAGAAAGTTGAATAAGGCATATACAAGATTGAATTTCAATTTTCACTGTGAGTGACGTTTTGACTGTGAAACGTGCCTGTTTTATAAGGAAAATTATATTTTAGACTGGTTTAGAGTCGCCACTTAATTTTAAAGCAAAATTAAGAAAACTGTTGTTTTCAAAAGACTAAAACAGAAATCTAGTGAAAACTTTAAAAAGGGTTCGAGGTTCTTATTAACAGTCTATGAAGGTTTTAAAAGCACCTAGAATGTCCACTAATGTGGTTATCCGACAATTAATTATTTGGCTAAAATAATTTTAACTTAACTCAACTTGCAAAATTGAACTATTTTGTAGTCGAAACTATTTTAAAGGGGAAAAAGAAAAATGTTGAAATACTATCATCTAAGTGAGGTATTTTCCTTGCAAAAATTCTTTAAGTCCTTTTAAAGGTGATCGATTTGGTAAAGTTGTTAAAACGAAATAAGCGTCTTTCGGGGATTTGAATTTTTTAACCTTAAGATTAATAACGGATATTAGCAAATAAACAAACACAAAAAGATAAAGAGGGAAAGAGACTTGGAGGCCCAAGTCTGGTTTATGTTCGCCTGGGCCAGCACTTGGGCCTATTTTCGTTTTTGGGCCTTCGGCCCAATTCTTGCCTGTTCTTTGCACCTGTCCTAGACTAACGAGGAAAATATAATAATAAAGTTTTCTTTGGGCCTTAGGCCCAATCTTGCACCTGTCCTAAATTCTAACAAACAATAAGGGATGAAACGACAAGGGCTTAGGCCCAAAATAACAAAATACAAATTTGAATTTTGGGGCCTGTAGGCCCATTTTCCCATCTTCGTATACACTAGGCGTATACTAGTGCATACAATCCTGTATCAGCTCCAAACACCTGTATGTCCACGTCAAGGATATGTTCTTCCATTTTGAAGGTTGATCGACTCAACAAAAAGGGGATTGGGCCTCCAAGGCCCCATAGGAAATGCAAGAAGGAGATGGGAGTCCGTGAGGACATGGACGGATTTCACATGCAACAAAAACAAGTAAACTGATTAGTAACGACCCACATGACTTAATTAAAGAAACTAAAATAGAGTAATGATCACTACCGCCTAATCAACACAGTGAAAACAAAAACAAAACAAAAAATAATAAAAAAAAAAAAAAAAAAAAAAAAAAATAAATAAATAAATAAATAATTAATTAGGATTAAAATTCGGTAAGCTCTAATATTGTATTGTATATATTGATTGTTAATAGGAATACATATTATTATATTATAAAATGAAATTTGAAGGACATATGTATAATAATTGCTTTCACGTGAAAGTTGACGGCAATTTTTGGACAAACATTATTTATCACTGAGTAATGATATGTTAAAATTGGAATTGGGTTGGAGGTGTAATTGTTAGGCGTGAATTCATATTATTATTATAATGTTAGGGGTAAGAAGATTGAGGTGCTGCATTTAAACAAATAAAAAAAATTGTTACTGCATATGACCAGGCTACTGGCAATTCATTTTCATACTAATAAAAGGCGTCATGCCCATAACAATCAATACCAATAATTTTGCGCTTTAAATAGTACTAACAACACAATTTAAGCTTCAACAACACTAACATATGGAAGATAAGACAAGACAATCAGGCCCTATGTTGGCTCAAGCTCGCAAGTAGTAACTATTTGAATATCAATTATTGAACCAAAGAGGGGTGAACATATTATTCCAAGCAGTGGGAGAACAAACTCAAAAACATCAGGAAGAGGGAGAGTGAGACAACCCAAATACCATTCTCGAAAGGGACTTAGGTACATACATTAACTCCATTTTTAGCATGCCTTGTAGAAAAGAAAGATGAATAAAGACATGAAAGAAAACGAAAAAATCTAAGAAGAACAGCATCAAAGAGACAAGAGACGGAACAAGCCAACATGATGAGACGATCAGAAAAGGAGAAATAAGCATTGCAACGAAGAAAGCCAGCTAACAGATCAACAAGCGATGAATGAAACAAACACACAAGTTCCATATTAACTAATGTTTTTTTAAAAATCTAGTCCTATTTTGAAATGGAAATCACATTAGCATACCAAGAATAGGGTCAAAATAGCAACCACGAAAGAACTATTTCAACTATCCTAGCCTGCATCGAGCCAGACAAGCGACCCAACCATAAAGAGAAAACAAATAAATGCTAAAATCGAAAGAAAACTCCAGCTCAAAGATCCATAAAATTTCAGCTTTTAGTTTGCTAGAAAAGGCTCATTTTAACTTCAAACAACCGAGACACATGGATTTAAAACCGAACTACCTCTCGACAGACGAAAGTCGTGAATGAGGAATAGCACAACAACATTTTTTGCAGGAAAGAAAACAGAACAACAGCCCACTTCATTTCATCCCAAACAGAGCATCAAACGAAAGAGTCAGAATTCTAAGAGTTTACCTTTTAGGGTGCAACGAACTGAGACGACGAGCTTGAGAGACGAACTTCACCACGTCAAAACTTTGAACCCGAGCAACAGTTGAGAAGTATGTGCAAAATATCGAATACCCCCTAAAATCAATTGTCCTTTTTTATTTCTTTAGTATGTATTTCTTTAGCTACTTTTCTTTTTCTTAGTAAGATTTTCCCAACTCCGAAAAAATCTTCCCCTTCTTTTTTTTTTTTTTAATACTGAAACAGTAAAAATTTATATCAAGGATCTAGGGTTCGACTTTGAGGGGGAAAAAGACTGATTTTCGGGTAAGAACAAGAGATCAAAATTTGAAATTCAAACTTTCAAAAACTTTCACCATTTTGGGAGGACATACTTTTCTGAAAATTCAACCCCATTCCGAAAGAGGAAATAGGGACAGCCGCGTGCCTGCTGCGATTCGTACGAGTACAGGGCTTTTGCTGTTGGTCACGTTGTGCTCCTTGCTGGAGGAGGAAGAAGAACGAGAAACGTATGAGTGGGGTTGGTTGGTATTTGGTACGCTGTATGTATTGTATTGTTA